CAGCAGGAAGGGCCCTGCCGAGCCCCGTTTCTGGGACCCCATGAAACTGGAAAGCTAAAGTCCCATTACAGGATGTTGACCACCACTGCCCCCTCTAGGCCATCCTTGCTGGGCACCTGAGAGGACTGTTTGCCTCTGGGCCTGGCCAGGGTGTGAGCTCTTGCTCCTTTCCAGGTGAGGGGCCAGTGTGGGTGCTCCGCTGTTCCCCAGGCTGGGCCCAGGGCCCACGCTGCTATTCGCAGTGGACAGGTGGCCTGAGGCCTGTGTTAGCCCCCACAGCCTGGCGAGCAGATGCTGGAGCCAGGACAGTGGCTCTACTTGCTGAGTGGGACGCGCACAGCCTTCTCTCAATGCAGGGCGCTTCGCTTGTTTATCAAGGAGCTCATTTTTCATTAAATCTCTTTCTAGGAATCAAAGCTGCCTCTGCTGAAATGACCTGGGGTGAGATGGGGCCTGCGGACACATGTGACCTCAGACTCGGGGCAGGGCCATCAGGAGGCACCAGGTCCACTGGGTGGTCAACTGTCCATCTGGGTGGATTCCCATGTGCTGGGATTGCAAATGCATGCTCCCTAAAGAGTCCATGGCTTTAGAGGTACAGTAGTTTGTTAACAGGTCATCATTTTGACCGTTTAGAAGGTTCCGGTATCTTTCCTAGCTATAGACCTGGAAAACAAGACTCCCCATCAGGGATCCACAGGCTGTGCACACTGGCTCTATGGGTGGCTGGGGGCCTGGGGGGGCAGGTCCTGGAGGCCCCTTCCCAGGGTTCTGCCACCTGGTTGCAGTGACCATTCCTGTCAGAGCTGGGGAACTCAGAGACCCCAGCCCACCCGTAGTGCGCTTCTCGCCGGTAGGGGTCCTCCCACGCAGAGGCCATGGGTTCACGCAAGCCCGTGTGATCCATGTGACTCAGGCGCTGGATTCAAAGTCCACAGCCTATGCTGTCGGCCACTTCCCACACCACTCCCCGAACCCCTGCCAGGCACCTCGATGAGGCTCCAGAGCCCACCCTGGGGGCTGGTGTCTTGGGTGGGTAGTTGCTGTAAAGTAGCAGTGGGCACACTCCCGCCAGTCTTCCGCACATGAAGGGCGTGCAGTGTGGGGGGGAAGGGGCTCCATCACGTGACCCTTGGGGTCTGGGTCGTGGGGAACCCACTTGCGCCCACGCCTGGAGGAGGGTCAAAAGGTCGAGGATAATGGGCTGCCATGCTGTCCACTGTGGTTTATTGCTTGCATTGCCAGGGGCTCAGGGTCCCCACCCCGCTCCTCCATGAAAGGAACAGGAGGGCAGTGCTGCAGGCACATAGACCTCCTCAGCTTTGTCTTGATCTGGAGCTGTGGGCAGGGGGCGGGGGCGGGGTGAGGGTCCAGGGCAGAGGGAAAGGATGGTGGCCACCACAGCCAGCAGAGAGGGGCTGGGTAGGGCTTAGCTCTGCAGGACCTCCAGGATGGCGCGGAGGATGGCGGCGGCTGCCACCGCCCCCGGGTCTGGCTGGTCCAGCCGTGCCGAGCTGATGTAGCTGGCTCTTCCGGCTCCTGCCTCCATGTGCTTGGTGGCCTCAGCTGCAGCTTCGGCACTCTGAGGGGGGACGCGGGAGCAGGTTCAGGGATGGGCCACTAGAACTCTTTGCCATCACAGGCAGAGTCCCTCTGCCGTGACGGCTGGTCCCCCGCTCCAGCTCTGCCAGCATCCTCCTTAGCATCACAGGGTGGCCTTTGCTGGGACTGGGGCCACACAGCCTGGGTACCAGGCTCTGGGCTCAGCAGTCCTGTGGGTGAGGTCCCTGTGAGGTCCACCTCACAGGTGTGGACAGGACCAGGAGGCCACTGGGCTCAGATTCCTGGGAGGTAACCCCTCGAGAGGTGGCCTGCTAGCCCCCAGCCTGGCCTTACTCACCTTGACAGCTTTGGTCAGCACCTGAAGCAGGTCAGCCCCCGGGCTCTTCCAGGCCTGTAGCTCCTGCCCTGCAGCCCACAGCGAGTCCAGCTGGACAGGGAAGGAGGAGCTGAGGCACAGCCCTAGCCCCTTGGGGGCCGTTTGGGCTTGGGAGAGGGAGAGTTTGGGATCATAGCTGCGGTGTACCTACCATGGTCCTGTCCCCGGGGGCAGCCTTGCCATACCTGGCAGAGAAAGGATGGAACGAAGTTTCCGAGGGTTCCCCTTGGGAGGTGAGGACAGGGCCTGGCTCCCCCACCCTGCCCCTCTGAGGCGCACCTCTGCATGGCCTCCAGGCCGGCGTCCATGGCAGCAGACCAGGCCGGGAGATCAGTCTTGGTCCTGAGTGGCTGGGCCGCTGCCGTCAGGAAGAGGCCATAGAGCTATGGAGGGTAGGACATTGAACACCAGCTGGCCCTGCCCCGGCCCCGCCCCATCCAGCCCCTGGGCTGCACGCACCGCCCCCGAGGAGCCACCCATCTTCTCCAACAGCAGCACGGACAACCGGGAGAGCAGCTGGGCGGGACTGGTGGGGGGCGGGCCCGCCTTCAACCAACCCTGGATGGCTGCAGGGAGGGAGGGGAGGGAATTCAGAGACCCTTGAGGCCGCCCTGCCCCAGCCCCGCCCCTAGTACCCAGGCCCTTCTGCCAGTCCAGGGGTCAGGGTGGCAGGGATGCAGTCGAATGGGACCAGCCAGCACCCCCCCCCCCCTGCCCCCAGGAGAGGAGAGGCCTCAGCCGCTGATCAGGAGGTGACACCGTCCCATCCTGACGTCTCACGCCCCAAGTCCCAGCTCCACATCCTCCCCCTCAACCCACTCCCTCCGCTCTGGAAGAGGGGCATGTCCTCATTCTGCCAGCGCCCTCTGCCCACCGGGACACCTGCCTCGGGGCAGTGCTTTCGGTCTGCTCTGGTGCCCGGTGGGTGTGTGGCTGGCAGAGGGGAGAGGGAGAGCGGGACGAGGCTTCTCCCTGATGTCCAGCCAGTCACAGGGTCACTGTGCTGGACACAGGCGGGGCGCAGTCACCAGCTTGCTTCCTTGTGTTAACTCACGCTCCTGCCATGGGCCGACCCCTGTGGGGTCTAAGGGTAGACCTTCATTGGAGGAGGGGCCCATCCCCCTGTGTTTGTGGTGCTCGAAGCAGGGGGAGGGGGTGCTAAGGTAGTGAGTGGTGCTACTTGGCAAAGGGAGAAAAGGTGGGGACAGCTGGAACGCCCCTCTCTGACCTGTGGCCGCGCGGCTGTGGGTGGTGCCACAGTCGCCGTCCCCGGCTGCCCGGTCCAGGGCGTTCAGGTGCTCCTCCAGGCCCAGAAGCGTGCTGCACACCCGCTCCAGCACCGGCACCATCCGCTTTGATGTTGACCCTGGAGGGGCAGGGGTCAGCCTGGTCCTGCTCACAACCCAGGCTGACCACTGGGCAACCCCCACCCGCTTGGGGCTCAGGCCTACAGCCCTGACCACCAGGGAAGTTGCCCCTTCCACAACAGCAGAGTTGGGTACCTCTGGCAGCAGTGGAGTCGGGGATCTCCGGGGGCTCAGCGGGGGCAGCCCGGCTCCGAGTGCGCCCAGTCACAGAGACCTTTGCCGTGTTGGTCCAGCCTGAGGCACTGGTTTCAGCATCTGGGGACCAGCAAGACAGCAGGATCCTTCCGTGAGGCACAAGCAGCCAGCCCCAAGGAAGGCGAGCAGGTGGCCTCCTGCCCTGAAGGAAGGCGAGCTCCCTGGAAAATGGGTGCCCGCTGTGTGCAGGGGGCGAGGCAGGGGCACCTCCACAGTCCCCTGCAGTGGGGCTGGCAGAGCTAGAAAGGCCGCCTCACCAGGCCCAGAGCTCAAGTCTACTGGCCAGGCCGCATGGGGCTCCCACTCCAGCGTTCCAGTCTCACCAATCAGTTTCAGGAGGGGCTCGTCGGCCAGCAGGAGGGTCAGGGAAACACCAGCCATCTCCAGTGCAGACATGAAAGTGCCCACCAGGGCGCGGGCAATCTTCACCCCGCGGGCCTCTGCAGAGCCAGGGCAGGAGGTCCATGAGGTGAGTGGGCGGCCTCCCGGCCACCCTCAGAGCACAGGGAGAGAGGGGAAGGTACAAAGGCAGGCGCTCTGAGGTCTGTGGGGAGAGGCCGCCTTTCCTCCGGGCCCCACAGGCCACCGTCCTGGAGGGCCCCCCCTTCAGCCTCCAGCTGCCAGGCCTGGCTGTTTCTCCCAGGGGCCTGCACAGCAGACCTACGAGGCAGGGCTACTAGCTCCCCTGCTTTACAGCAGGAGCTGAGGTGGGGCGCAGTGAGGTCACGGAGTGGTGACTCGGCTGCAGCGTGGGGCTCACCCAGGGTGCGTACAGCAGCGTCGGCAACAATACCCAGTTCCAGAAAGGACAGGCCACCCAGGTTGTTGACCACCAGCACCACCGAGGAGCCTGGGGAGACCCAAGGGCTTGATGAGAGGCAGTGGGCCCTGGGTGCAGAGAGGTGGGGGCGTGTGGGGTGGAGGAGAGGCTGTCCACCTGACTGCAGGGGCCCAGGAGATGCTGGGCGCCCCGGGCACAGTGGGGGTGGTGAGGAGGATGGGGAGGAGGCTGCTCACCTGATTGCACAGGCACGTGGGACGCGTTGGAGGGGTTGGTCATGTGGTCGAGCATCAGCTTCACGACCTCGTCAGCTGTGGCCATCTGTCAGGGGAGCCAAGGGTGAGCCCGGGCACACAGCCTCAGGCTAGCACAGGGCGGGCAGCCAGGCCAGGGAGGCCCCTACCTTGATCCGCCGGACGCCAGCTTCCCCGTGGATACCTGTGGACACAGTCGCCGCTGACCACCCGGGCAGGGGCCAGGCTCCCACACCTTACCTAGGGCTCAGCACAGTGGTCAGCTGGCACTGTGTGCTAGGGTGGGGAGAGGGGCGCCCAGGGCAGAATCAGGGAGGAGGCCATAGGGGACCTGTACTGTGACCTCGGGGGCTGGGAGGCCCGGGGGGCAAGCATTTAGACAAGCTAGCAGCTCTGAACAGCCCTGGAGACAAGGGCAGCATGCTGGCGGGGGAGGTGGCCCCAGGAAAGATGGAAGAGCAGGCCAGGTGGTGGGTGGGTGGGGCGTCCTGGGTGTGTACACGCTATCAGGCAGGCTGGGCCAGGAGAGAAGCCATGTGCACCAACAGGTGCTTCAGCAGAGGAGCAGGGAGCAGGGAAGAGCCAGAGAGAGACAGAGAGAAAGAGAGAGAGACCAGTGTGGGGCCAGCTGCTCACCCAGGCCCAGCTCCACTTCACCGGTGGAGAGCTCGAAGGTGGGCTTGGAGCCAGGAACGCTGCAGGAGGACAAGCTCACCCCAAGGGTGCCTGGCAGAGAGCAGGTGCAGAAAGGTTACTGCTCGGCCCCGCTCTGGTCCTAGGGATGGCGCACCACCCAGCTCTGGTCCTCAAGACGGCCCCCCTCCTCCCTGCAGACAGCTGGCAGAGACCTGGGCTGCACTCACCCATGACGTTGGCGACCTCGCTCACCCGCCTGGTGATTTCCTCGAGCCCCACACCAGCCTCAGCCAGGGCGCCTGCCACCTGTGCCCCACAAAGAGAAGGCCCCAGTAAGCAAGAGGTCGAAGCACCTCAAAGGAGTCAAAGTCAGGATGGAGCTGTGTCTCCTTGGGAAAGGGAACCCTGACACCCCCACACCCGGCCTGGCCCACCACATACAGGTCAAAAGATGGTACCCCCTCCTTCACAAAGCTCCAGCCAAATCTGCAGGAACACAGGGGACTCGACCAGTGGGGAAATGGGCCCAGAGAGGGCAGGGGACTTGCCCAATGCCACCCAGCTAGTTGGCAGTTGCTTTCCAAATTCCTAGGGTTCTATTCCCATGATACATGTGCTGTGGTTTACTTTATCCATCCATTTATCCACTCACCCATTCACCACCACCTATCCACCCATCCATCCATCCACATTCATTCACCAATCTGTACATCCAGATACTTATCCACCTACTACCCACTCACCCAGCGATCTATCCATCCATCCATCCACCCATTCAGGCATCAACCCATCCACCTACTCTCTCACTTACTCACCCAGCTATCCATCCACCCACCCACCATCTGTCCACTCACCTATCTATCTACCTACCCATTTACCCATCCATCCACTCACCTATCCCCCCCACCCACTCTCACTCACCCAGCTATCCATCCATCTATCCATCCACCACCCATCCACCCACCCACCCACTCTGATGTGTCTGTCTGTCTGTCTATCTATCTATCCATCACCCATCCACCCACCCACCCACTCTGATGTGTCTGTCTGTCTGTCTATCTATCTATCCATCCATCCATCCACTCAACCATCCACCAGCCTCATATTTACCAGGCATCTATTATGCTCTGGTGGCTGGGGGTGGGGTGGGGAGCCTGGTTCAGTCACAGACTCGAGGGAGCTTATGGTCTGTGGAGCAGGTGGGAAAGCAGACACAGACAAGTTACTGCCAGGTGGGAAATGCCACAGCAGAGCTCACCCGGGTGTTATCGGTGCCCCATGGGGGTTCTTAGCCAGTCTAGGGTGCTGAGGAGGCCAGGAAAAGCCCCCCAGACGGCAGATAGGATCTCTACGGAGCGGGCTCCAGGCTCAGGAGCTGTGGCAATCCCTGGCTGCCCCGCCTGGGGTCTCAGGGACCCTAGGAGGAGGGTCTGGGTAGAAGAGGGGCTGTCACGGGAAGGTCTGACCAGGGGCAGGGGTCTCACCTTGTGTATGAGCACGGTGCCACACAGTCCCCGCCTGCCTGCCTTCTTCAGAACCGTGAAGGCGCTGTCGTCCCCAATGACCACCATCTCCACGGGGAGGCCCTCCGCTCGGGCCTGCTCCCGGGCCAGGCCGAAGTTCAGCCGGTCCCCCGTGTAGTTCTTCACGATGAGGAGGGTCCCCGCTGTGGAAGCAGGGGGCAGGGCCCCCAGGATGCTTGTCCTCGGCCACCTGCTGTGCCCCCACCCCTGCCACTTGGGAGCCAGTCCTACCTGTGCCTGCCTGGGCCACTGCCCGGATGGCTGCCAAAATGCTGCCCACAGCTGGGGAGGTGAACACGGCGCCCGCGATGACCCCAGTCAGCATCCCTTTCCCTATGAAACCTAGAGGCAGGGCGGGGTGGGCGAGGGGCATTGTCTAAGTCCTTGGGGCAGCCCACAGTGTTGGCCGGGCACTAGCAGGCCTGGGTGGGTGCCCCAGAGGACGGCTGCATGACTGAGGCCCCAGGAGTGCCCCTGCCTCCATGCATGCATAGTCACCCACCCTGTTGCTTTACCCCGTGTTATGGCTTGAATTGTATAAGGGCCAACTTGGCTGGGCTGTGATACTCAGCGGTTTGGCAGTTACTTGACGATATAACTTGGCATATGTGTCATCGTATTGCACTGTGACCTGCTACGCTCTTACTGTGGTCACAGCCCTGATCTGGCGTCAGGAGGGTTTCTGGAGTGTGCGGAAGAGATCAGAGAGGAGGGTCTCAGAATCACCGAGAGAGAATAGCCAAGAACTGAGCACATCCTTTGGCCTGGGGTACCCACCCGTGCTGAGAACCAATTAGACACAGAGGAAGCGTGATGCCAAGACTCATGGAGATTGATCTCCAAGGGGTGCCTGGGCCACAGCTGTTGAAAGGAGACAAGGACCTTCCCCTTGAGCTGACAGAGAAAGCCTCCCCTGAGAGCTGGTGCCCTGACTGTGGACTTCCAATCTGCTGAGAGGAGGTTCAAGTCCCCCACTAACACAGCCTGTCTGATGGCCTCAACCACACCTGTGTCTCTCACTGCACCTCTTTGCCTCGTTTGCCTGGCTCTTGCCTGTCTCCTCCGAGAAGTCTAAGCTCCGTGGGAGCAGGGGCCTGGTCTGTGGGCTCCTATTTCGGTGCCCAGAGCCATGCCCGGCACCCAGCAGGTGCCTACCCGTTTGCTGGTTGAGTGAAGGGACTCTCCAGGGGAGGTAGGCAGGGTACAGATGACACAACTGGTCCCTGTCCTCCAGGAGCTCTCTTGGGAGTAAGGAAGGATGGGGTCCACTGCCCTGGACAGGGGCCAGTCCAGGGCTGTACCCAAGTGTGGGGGAAACTGCAAGGTGAGTACTTGTTCGGGGATTCAAAGCAAGGCCGGGAGGCAAGGAGGACCCAGAGAACACTGGATGCTCAGAGGGCGGCCGGAAGCATCACTGGCTGAACTGAGGCCCAGAGACAGAGAGCAGCCAGGATGGGCTCCAGACCCCACTAGGGAATGGGAATCAGAAGCCAGCTCCCGGCTCTGGGCCAGGCTATCCTGAACCTCACCCCGGCCTGAGCAGCTCCTGGGGGCCCCGTCCTCCTGCCTCGACCCACCACCCTGCCTCTACTGCCTCTACTCACCGGCATGGGCGGGCTCGTGGCCGGAGCCCCCACCCGACAGCAGTGCCACCTGGCCCTTGAGGCTGTCTAGGTCGGACCGGAGGGCCACCCGGTGGCCCTGCAGGAGCTGTAGGTTGGGGTTGCAGGCCACCAGGCCTGCGAGCGCGTCGTCAGCACAGCCTGTCACCGAGTTCATGAGCTTCTTGGAGGTCTGTGGGCAGGACCAGGCAGTGGCTCAGGTGCGGGCAGCAGATTCCTGTCCCACCCCACCCAGCAGCTCTGGGAGCACAGCAGGCTCCGGGCTTGGGTGGCACTGTCACAGCTGGAGGACGCTGTGACACTCCTTGCCAATGAGTGGCTCCGTGTTCAGGGCCAGAAGCATGGAATGCTCTGTACCATGGCTTGGGTTCAGCCAGAAATTGGCTTTGAGGTCAAGAGAACAAAGGCAACCGAACGTATACCTAACAAAGCTGGGAGCGAACACCCTTCTCCTGTCAAAGAAGGGGCCCTGGGCCACCGAGATGCTACACAGACCCTTCCCTGGTCGGCCAGGGTCAGGGCTCAGCCGTGGGCAGAGAGGATGGAAGAGGCCACTCTACCTACTAAGGGACGAGCCAGCCGTGATGCCATGTGTGATGGAGAACCAGAAGGGCCTCGGCCTTGGAAGCCTGTGTGGAGTGTAGGTGGGGGCTGGGAGGTGAAAGGGAGTAGGGAGCACAGCACAGGAAGGAGGGAGGGCAGCCTAGGCCCAGGGGAAGCATGAGCCAAGATGTGGAGGTGTGAATGCAGGGTCGGTGCAGGACCGAGGCTAGATGGAATGGCTCGGAGGGCCTGGCCCCAGGGAGCAGGGGTGAGCAGCCCGGGGCTCTTGTTGCTGTGAGGGGCCGAGTCGGTTCCGACCCATAGTGACCCGGTGCCCAGCAGAAGGAAATGCTGCACCAGCCTCACAAGAGCCCATCATTGCAGCCACTGTCAACCTTCTCATCGAGGCCCTTTCTCTTTCTGCTGCCCTTCCACTTTGTGGAGCGCGATGTCCTTCTCCAGGGCTTAGTCTCTCCTGACAACACGTCCAAAGTATGGGGCAGGGCGGGGGGGAGGGGGAGGAAGATGCAGGGTAAGCGTGGGCCTAATGGACAGTGAACAGGTTCAGCGACTGTTTGCTCTGTGTGGTGACAACCACGTGGGGCTGATCGCTGTAGACACACGCCAGCTAGGCTCAGCTTGTCCTCTGGGCACTCCTGCCAGTTCAGTCCATCCACGAAGCGGCTCTGATGCCATGGGGAGGCAGCCCGACCTGGAAGCAGAGCCTTGGGGGCAGTGGAAAGTGTGTCATCTATACCTGTGATGAAGAGCCCTGGAGGAGTGGTGCTTACCTGTTGGGCTGCTAACTACAAGATCACGCGTTCGAAGCCACGAGCTGCTCTTCAGGAGAAAGATGAGGCTTTCCACTCACGTCAAAAGTGACAGTCTCAGAAACCCAAATGGGAAGTTCTGTTCTGTCGCGATGCGTCGGCATCGGCTTGATGGCTGGGAGGCTTTTCTTTTCTATCTGGGATACTTTTTTTGCACGCACAAGAGCATGTCTACTATGAAGGAGTCGCTGGGGCATGCTGATAGTTTCATGGTGCCTAACTGAAGGGTTGAAAGTTCAAGTCCACCCAGGCAGATCTCAGAAGAAAAGCCTGCCAATCTACTTTGGAAACATCATCAGCCCAGCCAGCCAGGGCTGCAGCTCCTGCCTTTGTCCTGAAGAGGTGAGACTGGGGCCCCAAAGGGACTCTAGGGCCAGGCTCCCAGCACCACCTGGTGGACGGGCATGGCCTACAGTTGAGCCAGCTCCTGGCAAGGTGCGCTTTCAAAAGGCAGAGGTTCCTGCTTGCCAGCACCTAGCTCATTCTGCCAACTCTGGCACTAGGACCATTCTGATGGGCTTTTCACTGGGCTGAGGAGAGCAGCTCTGGTCAGCAGAAAGTCTGTAGTATTAAGGTTGGGGGGGCAGCCCCCCACCACTACCCACGGGTTCAGTAAGCACAATTGTACGGTTGAGATATATAAATAAATATTATATTAAAGTCATCGAGAGCATGAGCAATAGAAGAGATATTACAATAATGGAGTCAGATACATTACATGGTAGCACTGCTCACCTCAGCCCCACTTGGTGGTCCACTCGGAGAGAGGCGGAAGGGAAGGAGGACAAGGGGAAAGGGAAAGGGAAATGGAGGAGAGAAGGAGGAGAGAGGAGGCGGGAGCTCTATTGCTAACCCAGGCCTATATACCTATTGGGGGCATGCAAGCACACTAATTCCAAGTAGACATGCGTCACAGGAAGGGGTTGCACTATAAGTTATACACCAATGAGACGAGGTGGTCTAGGGGCATACACACACTAGGAAGAGGAGGGATTGGGGGTATACACTGACAAGATGGGCGGATCCTAGATTTAGGATGGCAGCTTAACTTTGACCTGTTCAGTTGGGTGTGAACACCTACAGGAACCAAGCTAATGGTCGCAAGCCTTAGGGAGAAGCAATCCATTGTCTCTAGCAGCAGAGAGCAGGCCCACCCCTGTGGTGGGGGGAGACAGCAGTCTGGTAGATTGCCTTCAGGGAGGATTAAGCATCTGACCTCCCCCCATAAGAGTCAGCTTAAAAGCAGGCCCAGTTCTAATGCATCACTACCCAGAGGAGGTACCCGGTAATGTCCTAATCTAAAAGTACAATGCAGACTCGGGAAGTGTGACCATCCTTGGAGGCCTTCTGAGGCGGCAGCCCCAGGCCTGGCTGGGGCCAGAGGGCTCCAGAAAGTGGCGAGAAGCAGGGGCCACCTCCGGAGACAGGATCCCCTAATGCACTGAGGAAGCTGCAGCATCTCTTGCTCAGGGTAAAAGGGACTCAGTAATGGCCAGGGCTGGGCCACCCCCCCTGTCCTAAAACCATAGTGTCCTTCCCTTGCCCTGGCCCAGGGGGGGGACTCACCATGGTGGCGTTCACACTTTTGTGCTGAGCTGAAGGACAAGTGGTTCTGTGGGAGTGAGCTGCCTGTCTCTGTGCTCACGAGGCAGGTGGCAGCTGCACCTGCAAGAGTGGGTAAGGATATGAGCTGCTGGAAGCACGTGGGCAGATTGGCCCAGTCATGCTACTGGTGCCCTAGTAATGAGGGAGCTGCCCAGACTTTGACCCAAGTCCAAACTCTAGTTCGTGCTCTGGGGATGGGGCAGAGTGTGGGCTGACCAAGGTTCATCAAGATGCACTCGGCTGCCGGGAGGGAGACAGATCAACCCCTACCAGCTGAAGGACCCCCTCACCACCCCCACCCCCACCCCCGAGCAAATCACCCACTGAGTAACTGCCCCTCTTACATGGGCAGTGCCTGAGAGTGTTTACAAAGACCTTCAGAGGCAAGGGAGGCTGCTGGAATTGAGACTCCACCCAGGAAGCAGATGCAGGAAGGTCTGGAGACCTGTCCACAGTCTGTACCTAGTCTTTTTACAAAGCCCGTGTCTCCAAACTTAAGTGGGTCTCTGGTGTGTGTGCTCAGCCTAGGTCATCTTGGGGCTGGGTGAAAGGTGGCTCACGCCAGGTGTGCAGTGAGAAGAAGCCCCCTGGGTGGGAAGACCTGGCTTTGTTCCTAGCTAGCTGGGCTCTGAACTTCTTGGGGGATCTGGGGCCAATAATTCTGAACCCCAGCTTGTTTTCTCATCTGGAATATGGGGCCTCTGTAACCATGTGGGTCCCAGGTCCTTGGGAAGCTTGTCTGATGGAAGGCTGACTGTAGGCTGCAGGAGCACCTGACCTCCCACCTGGGCCATGGAAGTTCTCACCTGGACCAAATTTGGGTTGTAGGTTTGGGGTCAGATTTTAAACAGCGATGGCGGCACTAGCGTTGCTAAGTAAGGAATCCTTCAAGGTCTATCGAATGAAAATACAATCCTGGGGTCCCTAAGATGCGGGGGGAGGGGGGGGGCGGAGGACACCCGCTGGGTTAGGAGGCGGGAGGGACCGACCTGGTCTGGGTTCCCCACCAGTCACCTCCCTTCCCTTCCGGGTTCCAAAAAGGGGAACCACTCTGAAGCAGGGGTGTCGAGGGAGGGCGGGGCCCGTTAAGAGTGGGGGGTGGGGATGGGCGGACGAGCTCCGAAGGCAGCAGGACACACCTCCCGTCGCCACGCGCCCTCCACCGCTTCTCTCCACGGCCATCTGCG